AATCACACCTATAATCTTAGCTACTGAAGAGGCTGAGACCTGGAGGAGGACTGAAATCCAAAGCCAGCCTGGAAAAGAACAATAGAAAGATTCCATTTCCCAATTAGCCAACAATAAAAGCTTGACTAGAGACATGGCTCAGGTGGTAGAATGCTAACTGAGATCAAGAAAGCTGAGCAAGAGCAGAAGGCTCTGGTACTCCAGGTATATTATTCTACTTTTAGGTAAGTCTAGTTAGTACAGATAATTGGGTTATAATTTTTGTGCTTTTCAAATAAAATCAGGATAATGGATTCTCTGTGTTACAGGGTGAAGAGCAATAATATTTCAGAGCTGAGCAGTTATTTATGAGTCACTTAGCTTCTCTGAATATTGGTATCCCCAACTGTCAAATAGGGAACAGATTTGTCACAGCTTCAAAAACTGCTGGCCTGGTTCCAGTGGCTCATGCTTGTAATCCTAGCTACTCAAGAGGCTGAGATCTGAGGACTGGGGTTCAAAGCTAATCAGCAAAATGCCAGAAGTGGAGCTATGGTGAAATGGTAGAATGCCAGGCTTGAGGGGAACAAAAGCTCAGGGACAGACCCAGGCTCTGAGTTCAAGCCCTAGTACTAGTATGGGGGGAGAGAGGCAAATTCAGAGCACACTCACTAGGTTTCATGTCTGAAAGCCTCAGCCTACCACCCCCACATTTCTCCCCTACTGCCTCTCTGCTGAGCTTCAAGTATAAGATGGGTTATTGGATGGACCCACTTGCTTTAACAATAACTTTAATTCGGTCACTTAATTTAGGTCACTTAAGTGCTATCATCAGTAGGCTTCAACCAAAGACTCAAATTTGAAGTCTTAGAAATTCTCTTCCAAGAAAGCAATTCAATGTCTTATAGAAAACTATAGATTCCTACTAAACCAGAGAATGTTTTTAATTTATTAATTTTTAAATTATGATTATTATTATTTTGGTGCTGGTCCTGAGGCTCAAACTCTTGGCCTGGGTGTTGTCCCTGTCCTTTTTGCTCAAGGCTAGCACTCTACCAGTTGAGCCACAGCTCCACTTCCACTTTTTGAGGATTAATTGGAGATAAGAGTCTCAGGGGTTTTTCTACCTGGGCTGGTTTTGAACCACCATTCTCAGATCTCAGCCTCCTGAGTAGCTAGGATTACCAGCTAAACCAGAGAATCTTGTTCATTAGAAACACCCAGTCTAGGGTTGGGATGTAGCTCAGTGGCAAAGCGCTTGCCTAGCAAGTACAACGTCCTGGGTTTGATCCCCAGTACCAAAAAAGAAAAGACAAAAAAAATACAGTTAAAAAAAGAAACATCCAGTCTGAAGCAGTAGAGAGGAGATTGTTCTGGACTCTTTTTAACTCCTGCACCCAGCATTATTTGCTTTGACTGACTGCCAAATCCTAAAGTTCAAAAGACAGTCATAAGTGGAGAAAGGGGCCCGGCATTCCTGGGGTTGGATTCCCAGAATTCTCCAGTTTAAGTCTCACTTCAAGGTCAGCTTCTCTCCATGGTGGTTTGGTTTTAGAGACAGCCTCTCTCTCTCTCTCTCTCTCTCTCTCTCTCTCTCTCTCTCTCTCTGCCTCAAAGAATGCTGGTTGATTTTGATGGTAGAATGTTGACCACCCACAGACTTGAACTTTGTATGCAAACTACCCTCCTCCATTCCCCCAGTCACCACTACAGACATATCTGAGGCTCTCAGGATGAACAATTCCACAAGTTTTCAGGCAGCTGGGTTCTTAAGTCCATCATAAAATACACAAGAGCTGGTATTTCCTTTCTCCTTTTGAAAATATTGCATTGCAATTAAATGTAAACATCAGTCTAGTTAATAGTAACTTATAATGACTTTGGAATTTAGTTTCTTTTTGTGTGTATGTGTGCCAGTACTGGGGCTTGAACTCAGGCCTTGGATGCTCTCTTTTATGTTTTTTTCCCCTCAAAGTTTGTGTTCTAACACTTGAGTCACAACTCCACTTCTGGCTGGAGTGTGTGTGTGAGTGTGTGTGTGTGTGTTGTTGTTGTTGTTGTTGTTGCTTTGTTGTTTGGCTGTTAGATGGAACTTAGAGTATCACAGACTTTCCTGCCTGAGCTGGATTTGAACTCTGATCCTTAGATCTCAGCTTCCTGAGTAGCTATGATTACAGGCATGTGCCACTAGCACCCAATTTGAAGTCCTACTCTCTTCAGCCATATTCAAAGTTTTCACTGTGTCCCATTGGGGTTTTGACTCCAAATTTCAAGAAGCCAGTTACTTTTGCTGGGCATCTGTGGATAATCCTGTCTACTCAGGAGGCTGAGATCTGAAGATTGTAGTTTGAGGCTAACTCAGGCAGATAAATATGAGGGACTCATTTCCAATTGACATAAAAGTCCTATCTCTTGGTCCTTCCTCTCATCTTCCCTTTGAACACTCAGGCTCACCTCCTATCTTCCCCCAATTCCCTGCCCCTCCTCCAAACCACAGTTCCTTGGGGGACATTTCCCTTGAGAAACCCAATGTAGAACAAATCTCTTGTTTCAAGCTTTTCTTCATCATATTTCCTCCTCCCCTCTTGGGGACAATTATCTCCATTTTTTAATTATATGATCATGAATGTAGTTATTTGATAAAGATCACCCTCCTTACTGGTCCCTAGGCTCCCTGAGAACAGAGGCTCACCCTTGAATCCCCAAGGTTTTTTTTACCAGTATCATTCATTTATATTGAATGACTTCTCAGAGATGTAGTCATTGAGGGAGAAATACAGAAAACTAGGAATCCTAATTTTTGTGTGTATGCCAGTCCTGGGGTTTGAACTCAGAGCCTAGTCACTGTCCCTGAGGTTTTTTTTTTTTGCTCAAGGCTAATGCCTACCACTTAAACCACAGCTCCACTTCTGGCATTTTTGCTGGTTAATTGGAGATTAATTGGAGTCTCATGGGCTTTCCTACTGGGGCAGGCTTTGAACTGAGATTCTCAGGTCTCAGCCTCCTGAGTAACTAGGATTATAGGCATGAGCCATTGGTACCCAGCCGAGGAATTCTGCTTTAAAATAATAATAATAATAATGAAGCTGAAGCCAAACATTTCCAAAACTTCTCAACAATATTATTCATCCAGCTCAACACACAAAGGATGGGTGGGATGTTCCATGCACAGAATTCAGAGGTAAACATCCATATGACCAACATATCAACAAACATATGACCTACAGTCATATGAACTGAGGAGAAAGGTGAGCAGTGTTTGGAACCTTGAGGACGTGGTCAAAAGTCAGAGAAATGGCTCATGCCTGTAATCCTAGCTACTCAGGAGGCTTGAGGTCTGAGCACTGTGGTTCAAAGCCAGCCAAGGCAGGAAATTCTGCGAGACTCATCTCCAATTAACTTTCAAAAAAAGTCAGAAATAGAGCTGTAGCTCAAGTGGTAGAGTGCTGGCCTTAAGAAAAATGTTCAGGGACCTAGGCCCTGAATTCAAGCCCCAGGACCTGCATACACACAAGAAAAAAGTCAAAGAGGAAGTTGGGGAGGGAGCTTTGAGGCCTAGGGACAATTGTCAAATAACATGCTGTCTATTCCCAGATATTACTCTATCATTAGCCTCTCAGGTAGGCCAAGGGCCACAGTGAAATGGCCTTCCTTCAAGCAGTAATAACAGTTGACGATTATGGGATAGGGTTGGGAGTAAGTATTTTACTTGACAATCACCAGGAGCCTGACCTAGTACAGGACTCCTGAAAGAAGGGCAGAAAGCCCAAGAGTCAGAAATGCTCACTTCCTGTTGATTGGAGATAGACTGGTATTCAGCTGATTGACAACTAACTGATGACTTCGTGTGGACATCCACAGTCTTGTACTCTCTGGTTTTGGACTAAGAAACAGGTCAGAGACAGGCTTTCAGTGTAACTTTTCCTGCTATAAAGGAGACAAAATCTGACTCTCTGGGAAGGGTGGAAGAACAGTTCTTCCAGATGTTAATAGGGACTTTGCAGAAATGATTAAACTAAAGATCTTTAAATAAAGAGATTATCTAGGATTATCCAGATGAGCCAAACAGGAAGAGGAAGGAGGGAGAGAGAGAGAGGGGAGGAGAGAGAGAGAGAGAGAAAGAGACAGACAGACAGAGACAGTGACAGACAGACAGACAGACAGACAGACTGGAAGATAGATGCTATGAGGCATATGAAGCTGGACATCAGTGGCACTTGCCTGTAATCCTAGCTAATCAGGATGCTGAGCCCTGAGGATTACAGTTTGAAGCCAGTCTGGGCAGAAAAGTCTTCCAGACTTTTATCTTGAATTAAGCAGCAAAATGTCAGCATGGCTCAAGTAGTAGAGCACCAGCAAAGGAAAAGCAAGCAAGTGCAAGGCCCTGAGTTCAAGACCCAGTACTGGATGGGGGTAGGGGGAGCTAGCTAGGATTACAGGCACGAGCTCCCAGAACCCGACCTTTAATTATTTTTTGGACACAGTCTCTCTTGCTAGAGACAGCGATTCTCCCATCTCCTTCTCCCAAGGAGATTACAGGAATACACCACCATGCTCGCATGTGGTTCTAAGACATAAGACAGAGATCCTGTGTGCCCTTTGCCAAGTTCTTTGGGTGATAACATCTTGCAGAAACTGTCCTCCAAGGCCACCACTGGGAAAGTGACAAGGACAGAGTCAAGAGGCAGAATATTCCTGTCACCAAGAATGGATGAGGGGTTCCCTCTGAGTTCTAAGTTTCCACACAAAATCACAGGTCCTTCCTTGAGAACCACTCATGAAAAGCATTTCAGGGTATCTCACCTAAAGGAAGAGGGGAGACGAGAGAGAAAGAGAGGAGAGGAGGGAAAGTCAGGGCAGGGGTAGGGGAAAAAGGAGAGGATCGATGCGATCGGCACTCCGACCACCAGGCATCGATCGACTGCACGGGTCTCATCGCGGCCCCGCCCCCGGACGCGGCCCCGCCCCCGGACGCGGCCCCGCCCCCGGACGTGGCCCCGCCTTCCCCGCGCCTCCGGCGGGCTGGGCCTGAGCGAGCTTGGAGGCAACCGGAGGGAGCCCCAGACGCCATGTACCGGCTCCTGTCAACGGCGACGGCGAGGGCCTCGGCCACTGAAGGCCGGGCCCAGTGCTGCGGGCGGCGCGGGACTCACCGGTGGGCTGGGCTGCCACCACTCAGCCACGGCTGGGCCGGGGGCCTGGGGCTGGGCCTGGGGCTGGCGTTGGGGGCGAAGCTGGCGGGCGCGCTGAAGGGCGCCGTCCCCGTTCCGCCTCCCGCGGACCCGGAGACGCCCCCTCAAGCCGAGTCCCCGCTGGAGCCGCCCTTAGCCACCGGGTGTCCGCAGGCCCGGGCCCCGCCCCCCTCCAGGTGCTTCGCCAAGGCCATTGCCAGCAGCCGCGACCTGCTCCACCGGATCAAGGTGCGGGCGGACGACGCGGGGAAGGGAGGCGCCCCCCGCCCCGCTCCGAGCGGAGCCCCTCGGTCTCCTGGGTCTGAACGGATCCCATCCAGGGTGGGGCGCGCAGGCTGTGGTACTTCTGAGAAGGACTTCCCATTTCCCGGCTGCGGGGCCCGCTGTCACACCCTTGGGGTTGCCCAAGTCGGTTGAGGTCACCGTCTCGTAGCTGTGCTAACCCCGGGGGTGCGCTTCTCGGAGACCCGCGGGGCGTGGCCTGAGCGAGAGTGGGCGTGGCCCCGAGTGTTGGGTGGGCGTGGTTAGGGGCGGGGCCCCGCGGGCAGGGCGGCCCCCAGCTCAGAGCCTTTGAAGTATGGGGTTATGGGAGGGTATTAGGTTATTATTCCTGTCTTCTTTTTTTTTTTTTTTTTCAAGCCTAGGGCTTGAACTCAGTGCTGCCTGGCCGCCCTCCCTGAGCTTCTTTGGATCAAGGCTGCCACTGGAGCCACAGATTGTTTGACGATTTTTTTTTAAATTTTATTTTATTTGTGAACAAACTGTACAGAGGGGTTAACGATTTTTTTTAAAGTAATTTATTGGAGACTATAGGTTCCCAGACTTTCCTGCCCCGGGCTGAGTTTGAATCTCAGGTTCTTCTGAGTAGATAGGATTTACAGGCATGAGCCACCGGCGTCTTTTGCCTGTTTTTGATCTGTGTTCTTTTACATTTTGCTCTTAGGATGAGGTGGGTGCACCAGGCATAGTGGTTGGAGTTTCTGTAGATGGAAAAGAAGTCTGGTCAGAAGGTGAGCTCGGGAGAGGGATTTTAGTGACTTATTTTGTGATAGTTGACGTTTTGCTGGTTGGAGTGAGTCCCATTGCTGTTGCATTTATATAAACCTAAATAATGAAGAATCAGATTGTTACTATTATGGATAATTATAATAAAGTTTAAAATGTGGGACTAACAGGGATGAGAGAATAGCTTCGTGGTAGAGCCTTTGCTTAGTTAGCATCTTCAAGGCCTGGATTCAGTCCTTACCACCAAAAACAAAGAATTAAAAGTGACATAAAAAATGGAGTCTTGCCAGGCACTGGTGGCTCATACCTGTGATCCTAGCTATTAAAGAAGGTGAGATCTGAGGATTGCAGCTCAGTACCAGCTTAGGCAGGAAAGTCTGTGAGACTCTTGGCTCCAATTAACCACCAGAAAAACAGAAATTGTGCTGTGGCTCAAAGTGGTAGAGCATTAACAAAAGAGCTCAGGGACACATCCAGCTGCAAGTTCAAGCCTCAGGACAGACAAAAAAAATTGGCATAAGACTGAATTTGTTGGTCTGAACATTTTATATAGAATCACCCATTAAATACATTATCACATATTGTAAATAATCCTTATGGATATCAAATTGGTCCAGTTGGCCACCCCAGATTTTTGGAGGATCCTACTTTTAGTAAACAACATGTCAAACGTTATAAGAAAGATGCAGTGTTAGAAGTTGGTAGGAGCAGAAAGGTTTTGAAAAAAAATTCTTTCCCTAAGTGTAAGTATAGACTAATCAATATAACTAATTTATATATATATATATATATTTTTTTTTTTTAATTTTTGGTCAGTTGTGTGGCTTGAACTCAGGGCCTGGGTGCTGTCCCTGAGCTCTTTTGCTCAAGGCTAGTGCTCTATCACTTTGAACCACAGCATCACTTCCAGTTTCTGGTGGTTAATTGGAGAAAAGAGTCTCATGGACTTTCCTGACCAGTCTGACTTTGAACCATGATCCTCAGATCTCAGCCTTCTGAAGAGCTAGGATTATAGGTGTGAGCCACCAGTGCCAGGCTTAAAACAACAACAACTTATAATCAAATGTTTAAAAATGTTACTTTCATGGGTGAGGGTGTAGTAGCTCACAACTGGAATCTTAGCATTCAGGAGACTGATGGTGATTTTGAAGCCATCCTGGACCACATACCTACACCCTGTGTCTCAAAAAAAAAAATGTCAGGCACCAAAGTCTCATGGCTGTAATCTTAGCTACTCAGGAGGCTGAGATCTGAGGATCATGTTTGGAAGCCAGCCAAGGCAGAGAAAGTCCCTGAGATACTTACTTTCAATATTGGGACCTGTACACACACACACACACACACACCTAAGGCAGAGAAAGTCCCTGAGATACTTACTTTCAATATTGGGACCTGTACACACACACACACACACACACACACACACACCACACACACACACACACACACACACACCTAACTAAATAAATGAACAACAATTGTATTCCCTTTCTTTTTTAGAATCTGTCTCTGATCTGATTTCACACTTTCATCCAACACAGAAGATGCAAACCAAAATTGTCTCTAGAGGTAGCTTTTTTTTTTTTTTTTGCCAGTCCTGAGGCTTGAACTCAGGGGCTGGGCACTATCCCTGAGCTTCTTTTGCTCAAGGCTAGCACTCTACCACTTGAGCCACAGCACCACTTCCAGCTTTTTCTGTTTATGTGGTACTGAGGAATCGAATCCAGGGCTTCAGGCATGCCAGGCAAGCACTCTATCACTAAGCCACATTCCCAGACTTCTAGAAGTAGCTTTTTAATAATAATAGCACATTGTGTTTCTTATGGTTTATAATTAATTTGATAGCCGGATTTCATTTGTAGGAGATCTTCCTACACACATTCTTATTGGGTTTTTTGTTGAAAGGAATTTAGTGGAAATTTGCTCAAAAGTCAGTAATGAATACCATCTAAAGAATGATAATATTTTCTTTTCCTTTTTTTTTTTCTTTTTTGGTGCCAGTCTTGGGGCTGTCTGGGCTACTCCAGACCTGGGTGCTGTTCCTGAGCTTGTTTGCTCAAGGCTAGCACTTTACCACTTGAGTCACAGTCCTACTTACAGCTTTTTTTGGCAGTTAACTGGAGATAAGAGTCTCATGGACTTTCCTTTTCTGGCTGACTACAGATCATGATCCTCAGATCTCAACCTCTTGAGTAACTAGGCATGAACCACAGGCACCCAGCAATTGTGTTTTCTTTAAAGATTGTAATTGATTTAAAATGTGGAATAGCCAAATAAGGTAATCTGGGAAAAACTAAGGTTCAAATCACATGGAAAATTATTGTGTGTAGGATAAAGTTAGGCTTATGTTGTCTGTATACCGAGACTTTCATTCTTGTGCATTTTCCTGTGGATAAATCTGCAGTGTGTTTTCAGATGGTATTAATTCCATTTCTGAAGACTTTTTGACAATGAAGATGTTTTGCTTCATTTCCCCTGAAGGCTTAGGTTATGCAGACGTGGAGAACCGTGTGCCTTGTAAACCAGAGACAGTCATGAGAATTGCCAGCATCAGCAAAAGCCTCACCATGGTTGCTCTGGCCAAATTGTGGGAGGCTGGGAAGCTGGATCTTGATGTTCCAGTGCAGCACTATGTCCCTGAGTTCCCAGAGAAAGAATACGAAGGTGAAAAGGTAATGAAACTCACACTTCATTTTTATTAATGATACATTAAATGCTTTATACTGGAGGTCAGATTTAGGATGCTTCGCAGGCTTTTGTGGTTTGATTGCTTTGCAGTGACTGCTACTGGCTGGGCTCAGTACTTTTATCTCCAGATGATAATCTGCTATTCTCTTGAAAGAGGAGGGTAAGATTTCTTACAGGACATTTCTCTTACAGCCTTTTAAAATGCATAGTTAGTGAGACATTCCTCCAAAGGCCATTAACTTGTGACTATAGGGTTTACTATTGTAATTGTATTTTCATTTTTGACAATTAGGTTTCTGTCACAACAAGATTACTGATTTCCCATTTAAGTGGGATCCGTCACTATGAAAAGGACATTAAAAAGGTGAAGGAAGAGAAAGCTTATAAAGCCTTGAAGATGTTGAGAGAGACCATGGCATCCGACCAAGAAAAAGACTTGAAGGGAAAAGGAGAGAAAAATAATGAAAAGCAAGACTGTGCTAAGACTAAAACTGAGCAGGATAATGAAGCCAAATACCGGAATGCAAAACCTTGCAAGAAAAAAAATGATTTTGAACAAGGCGAATTATATTTGAAGGAAAAGTTTGAAAATTCAATTGAATCCCTAAGATTATTTAAAAACGATCCTTTATTCTTTAAACCTGGTGAGTATTGACACCTTCTCTTAGTGACGTCATTACTGAGAGTTCCTTTTCAGGAGTCCCAAAATGAGAGAGGTAGATGGACCACTGGAAAGTGGGCCACTCTGATACCTGCCTTTCTGTCTGCTTAGGTTGAGTCTTCATGGAAGGCCACTGAGTTACTTGAGGATTTTCAGTACCAAAATATTCATGAAAAATTGTGGAGAAGGTTGGAATGATACCTCTCCATATAAAGCCTGGGACCAAAGTTAGAAAGGATGAAGTATCACTAATATTCTCATGTGTAGTTAGAATTTAAATTGCTCAACTTCATTCTTGCTAGTGTTCATCAAGTTAATTTCCAAACAATGATAATCTGTATAATAAATACCATCTTTTTATTTCTCCCTTTCTGATATTGGGCTTCAACTTGGCTAGTACTCTACTACTTGTGCCACACCTCCAGACTAGCTTTTTTTCTGGTTAATTGGAGAGGGAGTCTTTCAGACTTTTCTGCCCAAGCTTTCTTCAAACCTTAATCTTCTGTTTCTCAGCCTCCTAAATAACTAAGATTAAAGATGTTAGCAACTGGCACCTGACTAAAATATTATCTTTTTGTTTATTTTTTGGCAATACTGTGGTTTGAACTCAGGGATCTATGAGTACTAGGCAAGCACCCAGCCTCATTTGAGTCACATCCTGGCCTTGAATTCTTGATCATCCTGCCTCAGCCTCCTGAGTGCTAGGAGGAGTGCCACCCACCATGCCTGACTCTATCTTTGTTTTTTTTTGTTTTTGTTTTTTGTCGGTCGTGGGGCTTGAACTCTGGGCCTGGGCACTGTCCCTCAGCTCTTCAGCTCAAGGCGAGCGCTCTACCACTTGAGCTACAGCGCCACTTCTGGTTTTCTGGTGGTTTATTGGAGATAGGAGTCTCACGGTCTCTCCTGCCAGGGCTGGCTTTGAACCGTGATCCTCAGATCTCAGCCTCCTGAGTAGCTAGGATTACAGGCGTGAGCCACCAGCGCCCGGCTTCTATCTTTGTTTTTATGATGTTTATTGAAACTACTTTATACCATTATGTTACTACACTATATGCACTGATTTTTGTTGTTGTTGTTGTTGGTTTGGGTTTTTTATTTTTATTTTTGGTTCATGAGGCTTGAACTCAGGGACTGGGAGGTGCCTCTGAGCTTTTTTGCTCAAGGCTAGCACTATTACCACTTTGAGCCATAGCTCAAAGTGGCTAATTGGAGATAAGAATCTCATAGGGACTTTTCTGCCCAGGCTGGCTTCCAACCTCAATCCTCAGATCTCAGCCTCCTGAGTAGCTAAGGTTACAGTTCTGAGTCACTAGTGCCCAGCATTGGGTGTGTAGATGTGGGTGTGGGTGTTAGGTTTGAACTCGGGGCCTGGATCAGTCCCTGAGGGTTTTTGCCCAAGAGTAGCGCTCTACCATTTGAGCCACATCTCCACTTAGGGCTTTTGGTGATTAATTGGAGATAAAAATCTCAGAGGCTTTCCTGCCCTCACTGCTTTTGAACTGTGATTCTCAGATCTCAGTCTTCTGAATAGCTAGGATTATAGTTGTGAACCACTGTCACACCATGGTCTATGTACTTTTATTCCACTTTCATTTTGAATGTTTTTTTTTTACTGTGAATAGATGTACAGATATAACTAATAAAGGTAAATAAAATGTAATTATGTATTTTGTCTTTAAAAATTAGGTTTCCCCTTTTAAAATTTTTTATAGGTCAAAATTTTTAAGCTCTCAGAACCCAAAGTGATCTAATGTCATATACTTGAAACTACATTTTATATATATACATAATGCATTTGCCTTTATGTATTTGAAAGAAACCTTTAATGCCTACATATGCTTAATAAAATAAGAATTTGTACACCTATTTCTACCTTTCTACCCAGTAGGTGACAGTTCATCAAAGAAATCATATTTGCTTCTCCCCACCATTTTTTTTTTTTTTGTTTGTTGTTGGGGCTGAACTTTGGGCCTGGGCACTGTCCCTCAGCTCTTCAGCTCGAGGCTAGTGCTCTATCACTTGAGTCACAGCGCCACTTCCAGCTTTTTCCGCTTATGTGGTGCTGAGGAATCGAACCCAGGGCCTCATGCATGCAAGGCAAGCACTCTACCACTGAGCCACCTTCCCAGCCCCCCCCCCCACCATTCCTTTTTGATTGACAGCATGAAGGATTTTTGTTTTCTTTCATGGTCAGTCTAAGGAACAGATTTATTTGAAAATCTAAGTCTGCATACTATTATTTTTATCCTTGAAGCAAGGAAATAGAGTACAAAGCTAACTCAATTTATTGATCTAGTAGCTATGGTCTCCTCAATGTTGAAGTATAAAGTATTATAGTTTTAAAGGTATGCCTATTTGCAAAGTAAAGTATTTTGCATATTTTTAAATACTAATCAAGCATTTTTTTCTTCCCATCCCCTTTACAATGATGTCTCAAGGTAGTCAGTTTTTGTATTCAACTTTTGGCTATACCCTCCTGGCAGCCATAGTAGAAAGAGCTTCAGGATATAAATATTTGGACTATATGCAGAAAATATTCCATGACTTGGATATGCTGACAACTGTGCAAGAAGAAAATGAGCCTGTGATTTACAATAGAGCAAGGTAAACCAGTCCCTCCGCTGTGTCTAGTTTTCAAGCCCAACACTGCCCTTGTCCATTGAAAATCAGATTTACCTTGTCTCCATGTCAACATCAACTTGCTGTAATGCGCAAGCTTCTCTCCATGTCTTTGTGTGTTTGTAAAGCACCCCAGATGCTCAGGTAAAAAAATCACCAGAGTAACCACTCATCAGTTACTAAACCAGGCTTACAGCTCACATGTGTGCCTGCAGTGTGCTCCCACTCATCCCTTCTCTTTCCCTCAGCTCATTTCGTCTTATTGATTTGAGATGTTTTAGTGTTTATTTGGGGATAATTTCATTCTTAGAGGAAAGCTGGAATAATATCGAAGAGTTCACATCTACCCTGCACCCAGATTCCCCCATGTCAGGTCCCTATACACTTGAATCCTCTCTCTCTCTCTCTTTCCCCTCTCTTCTCTCTCTCTCCTCTCTTTTCTCTCTCTCCTCTCTTCTCTCTCCTCTCTCCCCTTTCTCTCCTCTCTCTCTCTCTCTCTTTGAAATCAAAGGTCCAGACTTGATACCCATTCCTAATAAATACTTTTACCTTCTAAAAATCACGAGTACATTCAAGAAACTGACATTGACATAATCTTTTGCAGCCTTTATTCCAATTTTGCCAATTGTCCCAATGATGTCCTGATGTCCTTCATAGAGAAGAAAAAAGAAAAATCTAGTCTACACTATGGGGTCCCTACTCCATTTAGTTGTCACAGCTTTTTCAGTTGGCTCATCATTGGTGATTGTATTTTGTGGCTTTGTTGGAATAGGGCCTGTCTGCTTGCTTTACCGTAAACTTTTTTCCTTTCCTTATTAGCAAGTGTATTTTGGGGAGATGCCATGTAAAAACTCCTGCTTCTCATCAAACCTGATGACTAATGACTGAATCAGTTGTTATAATATAGAAATGGTGGCCAGATGGTAACTTCCTCTTTCCATTATATTTTCTCTATTTATTCTAGGAAGTCCTTTGTCTTTTGTGTTTATTTGTTCATTCCAGTATGTACTTCTGGATTATTATTTTAGTCAATGAACTATAATCTGCCACTGCCATTCTTTAGTATCTTGCTATTGAAATAATAAGCATATAAAATACTAAAAGAAAACTAAGTGGTTATTAGATTGCTTACACATAGGTACATATTTTTATTTTCATTTTTTTTGGGTGTTTTGAAACAAGGTCTCCCTATAGAACCCCAGCTGTCCCCAAACTCAAAATCATCCTGCGTCAGCCTCCCAAGTGCTAATATTATAGGCATGGACTACCATACCCAGCTTCTTTTCTTTTTCTTTTTTAAAAATCCATCCTGGAGCTTGAACTCAGGGTCTGGGTGCTGTCCCTGAGCTCTTTTGCTCACGGCTAGTGATCTATCACTTTGAGCCACAGCTCTACTTCTGGTTTTTCTGGTGGTTAATTGGAGTCACACGTAACTTTCCTGCCCTGGCTGGCTTTGAATCACTATCCTCAGGTGTCAGCCTCCTTAGTAGCTAGTATTACTTCTAATACTAGGGCCTGTGACTTCTAATCAACATTTTTTGTTGTTGTAGTTGGTCATGGGGCCTGAACTCTGGGCCTGGGCGCTGTCCCTCAGCTCTTCAGCTCAAGGCTAGCACTCTACCACTTGAGCCACAGCACCACCTCTGGCCTTTTCTGTTTATGTGGTGCTGAGGCATCAAACCCAGGGCCTCATGCATGCAAGGCAAGCACTCTATCACTAAGCCACCTTCTCAGCCCTAATCAGCACATTTTTGTTTGTTTGTTTTTGCCAATCCTGGGGCTTAAACTCAGGGCCTGAGCACTGTCCCTGAGCCTCTCTGTACTCAAGGCTAGTGCTCTACCACTTGAGCCACAGCACCACTTCCAGCTTTTTCTGTTTATGTGGTACTGAGGAATCAAACCCAGGGCTTCATACATGCTAGGCAAGCACTCTACCATTAAGCCACATTCCCAGCCCTCAGCATATGTTTTTAATCAGTTTGATATTTGATTTTTTTACATATTCATAAAGAACATTAAAATGCTCTTCTGGTTTGGATTATGCAGACCTCTGCTTCTTTTTTTTTTTTTTTTTTTTTCAGTCATGGGGCCTGAACTCTGGGCCTGGGTGCTGTCCCTCAGCTCTTTAGCTGAAGGCTAGCACTCTACCACTTGCACGTCAGCCCCACTTCCAGCTTTTTCTGCTTATGTGGTGCTGAGGAATCGAATCCAGGGCCTCATGCATGCAAGGCAAGCTCTCTACCACTAACCACCTTCCCAGCCCCTACCCCTGCTTCTTGTTTTTTGACAAAATTTTTATGTGTTCTAAAAATAATACTAAAATAATTAAATATTTAAAATATATCTAGATTTAAGAACTGTTTTATAGGGCTGGGAAGGTGGCTCAATGGTAGAGTGCTTGCCTCGCATGAATGAGGCTCTAGGTTTGATTCCTCAACATCACATAAACAGAAAAAGCTGAAAGTGGCACTGTGGCTCAAGTTGTAAAGTGCTAGCCTTGAGCTGAAGAGCTGAAGAACAGTGTCCAGGCCCAGAGTTCAAGCTCCACGACCGACCAAAAAAAGAGAAAAAAAAGAACTGTTTTATAATTAGGAATCCTTAGGCACCATATTATTATAAAAATTAATATTTAAGGGCTGGGAAGGTGGCTCAGTGGTAGATCACTTGCCTTGCATGCCTGAGGCCCTGGGTTTGATTCCTCAGCACCACATAAGCAAAAAGAAAAAAGCCTGAAGTGGCGCTGTGGCTCAAGTGGTAGAACGCTGGCGTTGAGCTGAAGAGCTGAGGGACAGTGCCCAGGCCCAGAGTTCAGGTCCCAGGACCGGACCCCAAAAAAACATTAATATTTAAGCCATAGTTTTGGTGTTCTTTGTTGTAGCAGGGGGTATCAGACCAGGATCTTGGCCTGCTAGGCAAGCCTCTACCACTTGAGCCGCACCCAGCCCTTTTGTTTGTGTTTGGATACAGCTGGACACAGTGTTAGCAAATGGAGTAAAGATTCAACTTCCGTTTGTTCAAAGTTATTTGGAGGTTGTTTTGTTTTGAGACATAGTCTTGCTATGTAACCCAGACTAGTGTTGAGCTCTTGATCCTCTTGGATCAGTTTCTCCAGTGCTGGGATTACAGATGTGTGCCACCAGGCAGGGTTCTTATTTGAAGGTTTTTAATTCAGGAAGAATACCAATGAAAGGGCAATTGTGTCAGATCTTGGGAACTTGGTAAATAACTTTATTAATTAGTCAGTTTGGTTATTACTTGGCTGTTAGGTTAAAATTATTCAGTTTGTTAGGTATGTTCTTTTCTGTTGTTTTTTTTTCTTTTCATACCTTTTTCTTCATAGTCTGGCTACAGTTACTGAGTTGAGTGGGTTACCAGCATTTCTTTTTAATATACTTTGGTACATGGCATGAAGCAAGACTAGAAAGTTTCAAGGTAAAGGTTAGGTTACTATAGCAAAAGACAGCAAAATAGAGTGACTGGGAAAGCTAGAAGTTCCCATACAACATGTTGTCCCATACAACATTTCCTAGGTGAGCAGTTCAGACTGGGGACAAGGCTGCTGTACACAAGGCTCTGAGGACCTATAGGCTTTAGTCTTAGTGTTCCTCTCTTCCAAGTAGTATTCCCCTCTGCAAGGTAGAAGTTAGATGACAGCCACTGGAGCTAGATGGCCCCTTCATGGGTGTGGAGGGGCGTGCACACAGCCTGAGCACCAGACCCAAGGTGCACTTCACTCTGTCCTGTTGGCAAAAACTTAGCAGAACAGGGACCAAGGTATGTGACTTGCTATCTAATTGTACTATTAAGGAAGAAGAGAACCATTTGAGAAACATCTATTCAACCAGCTATTTCAAACATCTATTTTGAGAAACATCTGTTTAACCAGCTGTCTGTGTTACTGTATTATTTCATAAAACTTACATTCCTCACAAGTGTGTGTGTGTGTGTGTGTGTGTGTTTTCAGAGTTCTGTGTTCATTTGGTCAAAATGAGAAATATACTCCTTATACTAAGTTGAGGTTAAAAAAAGTTTGAAAGTTACTCAATGAACTATATCAATCAAAATTTGGTTATGATGTTTGTTAGTCACTTGAAAAAGGGGCTTTGGCTAATTGCTGAGTTTTATTGTTGTGATATTTTCTGTTTTATTTTTATAGAAAGTGCACTTTTAACAAACCAACTGCTAGTTTTCCCTGGCATAGTTCCACTTCTACGTGCTTTCCAAGTGCCTAAATGGCAGATACTGTGAAGAGACATATGAAATGATGGTTTTTGTTTCTTTTTTTTAAAAGCTTTATGTTCCCATGTCCACATTAGTCTTATTCAGCTTTCTATTTAGCTAAATTATCATTACAAATTACTAGCTTATTTAAAAGGATTAAATATGCATGGTAAATTAGTCTATGGCTTGAAAGAGACTTGAGGGAGACCCAGTGGGAATTAGGTCAGCATCAAGCAATGCATTTTAATTCTTTAGGAAGGCTTGTTTTTCTTAATCATTTCAGATTCTGTGTGTGTGTGTATGTGTGTGTTGAAAATAGTGTTACCTGATTATTATTTTTAGATTGAACATATTCTAGTGGCAATCATAAAAATGGAGAAATACAATGCCAGAGATTGCCATTGAGTCTGAGATGTGTTGGGCATAGCTGAGATTTTTCCTCTTTTTCACGTGTGTGTGTGTGTGTGTGTGTGTGTGTGTGTGTTTAGCATAGTGCCATCAACTGAGATGAAGGCATTTGAACATCTAGATCTACTGAGGAAGGCACTGGATATGCAGAACCTCATGTCTAACACAAAGATTAAAGCTCTGAATGCAGACTGTGGAACCGCTATCTTCTGCTGCTTCTTTATAAGTCACTTGCAAAAAAGAAAAACATGGTGGCAAGTTAACTTTGTATGGGTTCTCATTCCTTAAAAAGAAAAGACAATGAGTTTCCATTTCTAGTGTGAAAGGATCCCATTTACTTAGAGGTTTGTTCGGTTTGTTGGTTGGTTTTTGATAGAACCCAGTGCTTCCAAGGTGGTTGTTGATTCATTTTAGTTAAATGCTCTGCTGAAGTAAAATAAAACCGTAAAAGAAGGATATATTGTTCTGCCCACTTGCTTTTTTTTTTTTTTTTGCATCAAAGCAATCCCTAGCATTTAGTAAGGAATCCATTGAGAATGTGAGATACTTCAGTCAGAAACAAATCATTTACTTAGAAAGCACCTGCCAGAAACCAGGCACTGGTGGCTCACACCTGTAACCCTAGCTATTCAGGAGGTTGAGATCTGAGGATCATGTTTCAAAGCGAGCTGGAGCAGCAACATTTATGAGACCCTATCTCAGTTAATCAGTAAAAAGTGGAGCTTGTGGCTCCAGTGGTAGAGTGCCATCCTTGAGGCAAAAAAAATAAAAAAGGAGGGGGACAATGCCTAGGCCCTAAGTTAAAGTCCCCGTACTGCGCGCACGTACACACAGACTCACACACACACACACACACACACACACACACACAATGTTAATTAAAGCACCTGTCAACAATGTGCAATGTTTTATATACATATTCCAAATGCTTTAATACAGGTGTTTTGATTCCTAGATCACAAACTAAAGTGACTAAGATGCTGAGACACAGCATCTTAGGATAGCCATCGCTGGCTGTCTGTGTTTGATCCCCAAGCCCTGTTATTCCCAAGCTGTATGACTTACTTTCTTTTTTTTTTTTTTTGCCAGTCATGGGGCTTGAATTCAGAGCCTGGGCACTGTCCCTGACCTTCTTTTGCTCAAGGCTAGCATTCTACCACTTGAGCCACAGCACCATTTCTGGGTTTTTCTGTGTATGTGGTACTGAGGAATCAAACCCAAGGCTTCATCCATGCTAGGCAAGCACTCTACCACTGAGCCACATTTCAAGCCCCTGTGTGACTCTATCATTTGTCAAGTAAGCATGTCCAATAATGCTATAAGAATGGACGAGGTCATGTTAAAACAGTGCCTGATGTATAGTAAGAACTATATGAAAATATTTGTCAAATAAATAAGCATAGTAGTAAAAGTGTCTGGGATTCAAACTGACTTTCACACCATCAAGAAAGTACCATGTTCCAGTGGTTCTACACGAAGTTGGAAATTTAGTCTTTTTATATATATATGTGTGTGTGTATATGTATATATATGTATATGTATATACACATACATATATACATATATATGTATATGTATACATATATATACGTATATGTATATATGTGTGTGTGTATATATATATATATATATGTATGTATGTATGTATAATTTTGTTTTTCCAGTTCTGGGGCTTGAACTCAGGCCCTGAGCACTGTCCCTGACCTGCTTTTGCTCAAGGATGGCATTCTACCACTTGAGCCACAATGCCACTTCCAGCTTTTTCTGTTTCTGTGGTACTAAGGAATCAAATCCAGGGCTTCATGCATGCTAGGCAAGCACTCTACCACTAAGCCACATTCCTAGCCCCAAATAATCTTGTTTTTAAACATTGCATGGTTGTAGTTATGAAATTCACTTGTGGCTCTGACTCAACTTTAAGTCCAAGGGCTAGGAATAGCTACCAACTGATAAATGTTTCCTGTCCATATACACAGAACACATGTGTAATGAGAAAGCTGTACCCTAGAAAAATAGTTTCTATGCTTTAGTTCACAGATTACCCAGCAGTCTGTCTCATTAGGTTATTTGTGCTGAATGCATTATCATTACATTGAGATGCAACTTGTCTTCTGTATACATTTTTCCTACTTGTAAGTCAAGAATCGACTACTGAACTTTTAATGAGCATTCTTATTTCATTTTAGATTTTATGTTTACAATAAGAAGAGACGTCTTATCAACACGCCTTACGTGGATAACTCCTATAAGTGGGCTGGTGGTGGATTTCTGTCCACAGTGGGTGACATGCTAAAATTTGGGAATGCAATGCTGTACGGTTACCAGGTCAGGCTGTTTAAGAACACCAATGAAAACCTCTTACCTGGATATCTCAAGCCAGAAACAATGGTTATGATGTGGACACCAGTCCCTAACACAGAAATGTCTTGGGATAAAGAGGGTCAATATGCAATGGCATGGGGTGTTGTGGAGAAGAAGCAGACATATGGCTCTTGTAGAAAGCAGCGGCATTACGCCTCACATACTGGCGGTGCAGTGGGGGCCAGCAGCGTCCTACTGATCCTGCCTGAAGAACTGGATACGGAGGCCTTGAGTGACAAGGTTCCCCCACGAGGGGTGATTGTTTCTATCATCTGTAACATGCAGTCTGTTGGCCTAAACAGCACGGCCCTGAAGATTGCCCTGGAATTTGATAAAGACCGATTTGACTGTTAACAAACACTGACCTTCCAAGTTACATGGAATTCTTAAGTTTTTAATAGAGTAAAATGCTGAGAATTATGTACTTCTAATTGCTTAATTGTGTAACTATTTTAGAATGAGTTCTTTACACTCAGGGAAGTAACCTATTATTTCTACTTTTTTCAAAGTGTAAGCTCTTGGAATAAAATATTCTGATAGAAATGTAGTATTTGAATATGTAATAGAGAAAAATCACATTCCAAAAGAGCCTCTACATAATATGACAGCAGAAAACAAGATCACGAGGAATTGTGTTGCTGTGTGTATGGCAGCCAAGAGAACAGCACTTATACCACCTCAGCACCTGAGGCTCAGGGATGGAGAAAGAATGGGGAAGATGGTCCCAGTGTAGAGTCTGCAAGGAGGCTACAGACAAGGTATTCTAGTTGTGTGACTCTGAACCAGAGGAGATGCTTCCAGTGTGGCTTACTCATGGGCCTGGACTCAGTTCTTCGTTTATGACCATATGGGCTCCTCTACAGAGATGCTTAGCTGCCAGAGCAAGTGACACAAGATGAACCAGTACAAGCTCAGAGACCGTTTATTTTATAAGGGAGCCTCAAGCGTTACATGATGGCACATGGCCTTTTCTCATAAGTCCGATGGGACCCAATAGTATTGGAAAAAAGTTAGGAATCACTGAAAGACAGCTTGGATGTTTGCAGCCACACTCTGACCTGGATCCTCAATGATTGCTCTTCCTAAGTGTTAAATACACATAGTTCCTTTCAACCATGATTCAGTGTTGGGGAGGGCTGTACAAACAAACACATGGATGAATACTGGAAGTGGGGAGTTATGGGCACATGTTGGAGAATGGCTTCACACATTTATTCTAGCGTTGACCTTGCGATATTTGTTGTAAAACTCATAGGTGTGTATTGGAGATTACCAGTGTGCCACTGCAGTTAGGAAAAAAAAATCAAAGTTTTAGATACTCTAATAAAAGTGGGATTTTTGTGTAGATCTGAGACCTAAGCCTGTTTCTTCATGTTCTACATTACAAAAGGATGGATATCCCTGGATTGTATTAAGTATAAAGAGCAGTTCCCTACAGCAAATCCATTTCATGTCTTAGTTCTTGGGTGTTCATGTTCGACAAGCATTACAATCCATGTCCTTTCTGATAAACATAAAAATGTCATGCCTTCCATTTGTGTGTGTGGGGGGGGTGTTTGTTTTTTCTTTTTGTTTTTGGCAGTCATGGGGCTTGAACTCTGAACCTGGGCTTTGTCCCTGAGCTCTTCAACTCAAGATGAGCACTCTGCCACTTGAGCCACAGCATCACTTCCAGTTTTCTGGTGGTTATTTGGATATGAGTCCCATGGACTTTCCTGCCTGGGCTGGCTTTGACCTGTAATCCTCAGATCTCAGCCTCCTGAGTAGCTAGAATTACAAGTGTGAGCAATCGGAGCCTGGCTCCTTTCATGTTACTCTAAAATATAAATATAAAATATAAGCAAGAGTAAATCAAATAACGGTTTTTAAAGAAAACAGCTCCTTATTGTGATAAAGAGTGCTTCTTAACTATTGCAGAGACTACAGGCCGAAAGACCAAACACCTAGAACTACCAGAGAAGCAGCATTTCAGTTGGAAGAGCATTGTCTGGACATCAGAGACAAGTTCAGTGTGCTGAACCCTAATAAAAGAGGATCACCACAAAGAGCCCTGTGAAGGTAGTGTGTATTATGAACAAGACCCTTGTTTCCAACTAATTGATTTTTTTTTTTTTCATTCTTGCTCAAGCTCTGGCAAGAGTACTGAACCTTCTTAAAAATGAGACAAGCCGGATGCTGGTGGCTCATACCCGTAATTCTACCTACTTGGGAGGTCTGAGATCTGAAGATCGTGGTTTAAAGCCAGGCCAGGGGCTGGGAAGGTGGCTCAGTGATAGAGTGCTTGCCTTGCATGCATGAGGCCCTGGGTTTGTTTCCTCAGCACCACAAAAACAGAAAAAGCCGGAATTGGGGCTGATACTCAAGTGGTAGAGCGCTAGCCTTCAGCTGAAGAGCTGAGGGACAGCACCCAGGCCCCAAGACCGACCAATAAATAAATAAATAAAGCCAGGCGAGGCAGGAAAATTGTGACGGACTCATCTCTAAAACTGCCAGAAGTGGAGGTGTAGCTCAAGTGGTAGAGTACTAGCCTTTGGTTAAAAAGCTCAGAGACCAAGCCCAGCCTTTGAGTTCAAGCCCCAGGTCCAACACCAGGAAAAAAAAAGAATCAGGCACTGTGGTTCCTACCTATAATTCCAACTATTTAAGAAGCAGAGAAAAGGGAAAAAAAATTGCAGAGATTGGGAGGATTGTGATTTAAAGCTAGACCAGACAAAAGATCCCATCTCAATCAAAAACTGAGTGCAGTAGTGCACACTTGCCATCCTTGCTAGTTAGAAGGCATAAATAGGATCGTGATCCAGGCCAAGCAAAAAGGTGAGACTCTTAAAAAAATAACAAAAGCAAAAGAGATAGGGATGTGGCTCAACTTGCAGAGCACTTGCCTAGCAAGTTGAAGGCCAAGTTCAAACCTGAGTACCACCAAGAAAAAGCCAAACGAACCAATCAAACAAAAATACATAGAACTATCAGTGGCTCATTTATCTCCAATTAAGAATTTGACTTAAGGGGCTGGGAAGGTGGCTCAGTGGTAGAGCACTTGCCTTGCATGCCCGAGGCCCTGGGTTCCATTCCTCAGGACCACATAAGCAAAAAGAAAAAAGCCGGAAGTGGCACTGTGGCTCAAGTGGTAGAGTGCTAGCCTTGAGCTGAAGAGCTGAGGGACAGCGCCCAGGCCCAGAGTTCAGGCCCAACAGGACCAAAAAAAAAAAAAAAGAATTTGACTTAAGTTAGCTGCCAGTGTTCAGGCCTGTAATTCTAGTTGCTCAGGAGGCTGAGATCTGAGAATTGCAGTTCAAGCCAGCCTGGGCAGAAAAGTCTGAGATCTCCAATTACCACCACCAAAAAAAAAGAAAAAAAAAAAAATAGAGCTGTGATGCAAGTGGTAGAGTACTAGCCTTGAACAAAATGCTCAGTCAGCACCCAAGTCCTTAATTCAAGCCCTGGGACATGTACCAAAAAAAGGAAAAAGATTTAAAAAAAAAAAAAGAATTGTACTAGCTGGATGCTGGTGGCTCATGCCTACAAACCAAGATACTTAGGCTGAAAATGGAAGGACTTAGTCAAGGCCAACCTGGACCAAAAAGATAGTTATGAGACCCTATCTTGGTAATAACCAGCAAAACGTCAGGTCCACCAGACACTGGTAGCTCACACCTGCAATCCTAGCTACACAGGAGGCTGAAATCTGAGGCTTGTGGTTCAAATCCAGATCAAGCAGAGAAGTCTGTGAGCCTAAACTCTATAGTTTGTATGTATAGCAACACTTTAAATACCTGGCCCTGACTACAGATAGAATGGATGGAAATCCCAAATCCTTTGGGATTTCTTTTACTGTAAATTTCCCACTTAGTCTGTACTTATTCTGACCAGGAAAAAGAAAGCATTTCTCTAAGACTTGGTTATGGACTAGTTCCTAGGTTAGGGAATGAATAACCATACTACTAAGTATCAGAGTTCTTCTAAAGGTAGTAAATTAATGGCCAGTTTCCTGTCATCCCACTACACATGCATCTCTTCGATGTGATTTTTGCTTCTTCCCGTCTGAAGGTGGAGCTGTTCTCTACTCCCTAAAATAGCCAACTTGGCTATGACTTCCTCTTAACCATAGGATGGGGTAAAAATAATGCTACACAGATCCTGCTCTTGGACTTTCAGATCTCTAAGCCTGTGCCATGTAAGAAAACTAGAGTAGCTTCCTATGGAACTGAGATGAACTTCTTGCTGGCTGGCACCAGCTGCAGACACATGACTAAAGCCATCACGGGCTTTCCAACCTAGTTCTGTCTCCAGCTAAAGGACGTTACAAGCCAGGAAAGTAGCTAACCAATCTAATCATGACAAACCATCATCACTCTATGTCATTCACTGTGGGGGTGCCTTGTACAAATAACAGTTAACACTCAGTTATGTTCCTGGAACAACATAGGAAAATACAGAACTCTTAATAGTGCTTGATTTTGAGGACTTTAAAGCCATAGCTGGGAAAACAGGTGTCTATCACCACACCTGGTTTATTGTAATGGCATCTTGTTAAATATTTTGCATTGAAATGCATTCCTTTGGATCTCCACCTTTTGATGGATGCAAGCAAAAAAAAAAACAAAAAACCCTCTTAGCTCTATTTACTGTGTGAATTATCCTGCCTTCCCATATCTTAGAAAATTTACAAACCTACAAAAGTCACACTAAAATAATTGCATGAAATTTTATCAATAGTTTAGTAAAAAGCAGTCACGTAAGTTTTAGGGGCTGGAGATAACAGTTTAGTGGTACAGTACTTGCCATGTATATGCAAGTACTGGGTTTAATCCCTAGGGATTTTAATAACTGTAAATAAAACAATTTTCCAAAAAAAGCAAAAGTAAAACACAGATGACACATTACAGTTATGCTCACATATCTCCTCTGCTCTTACTCAGCTTTCTTGCTCACAGCTGGCACTCTACTATAAGCCAAGCCTCCAGCCCAAAACACAACTTCTTAAATGTTTAAGCTAAAAATCCCATACACAATATAAGTAAATGTCTATCTTACACATTTAAAGAAAAACAGGAATTTTTCCATAATCAAAACTTTATTGAAAAACAGACACCAAAATAGGAAATCATTGTTGTGTACCTTACAAAATCAAACATAATTACATTATCTTGGTAGAGTCACTGAACTTCTGGTAAGGCTTTCTGTGAGGAAATGTAAATTCAGAAAGTTGTATAGATCATTAGTGTTGCTTTCTTCTAAAGGAACAACCTGTAAAAGAATCATGAGTGTGTAGTGAACAAGTTTATTAAACTTTTGGTGTTATTTTAGTAGCAGTAAGTACTTCTTTAAGTAAAAAGTTAAGTTTAGGGAATATTCAGTTAACATATACAAATTATATATTCTTTTGTATCATAAAGTCTGCTATAATATTATATATGAGTTATATTTCAATAGGAGCAAAATTGACACTATAGTTTTAGTCATGATATAAAGAAGCAATTTACTACCATGAACCTGAATTCAATGATTAAACAGTTTGAAGACTCACTGAATTTTTAGCAATTATTTTGATTAATTCCCTAGTTTTTATTTTCCTTTTAAAAGTAGCATGTACTAACTATACAAAATAGGTTTCACTGTGATGTTTTCACATGTAATTTGATCATACTGATCCACCTTCCTTTTTCCCAAATAGTTCACTCAAAGCTAAAGAGAACTTAGTAAAGCTTAGTAGAGTTCTAAATAGAGCTCTGTTAGGAACTATGAAGAAAACCCTGCTATGGAGAGTCTGTCAGCACAGGTATCCAAGAGTCTAGCTTACTAACATAAAGGTTTCACAAATCTTGCAAGTATATTGTGAGAATAATTAAACATCTTGTGCTGATCAAACAGACCATAGATTTATTTTGTCTAGTCCTTTGGCAACTCTCACAGAAAGAACATGGAACCCACAGATCCCCAAGATATCACAGCCTCTTTCAAGTACTTGAAATCTGAAAATATTACTAAAAAAACCCCAGTGCCACTTCCAGCCTTTCCTGGTTATGTGGTACTGAGGAATGGGGCCCAGTGCCTGCTAGGCAAACAGTCTACCAGCAAGCCACATTCCTAGCCTGATAAAAAAAAAATTTTTTTTTTTTGGTCTGGTCGTAGGGCCTGAGCTCTGGGCCTGGGCGCTGTTCCTCAGCTCTTCAGCTCAAGGCTAGCACTCTACCACTTGAGCTACAGCGCCACTTCCGGCTTTTTTCCTTTTGCTTATGTGGTGCTGAGGAATTGAACCCAGGACCTCAGGCATGCAAGGCAAGCGCTCTACCACTGAGCCATCTTCCCAGCCCCTGATAAAAAAATTTTTTTAAAGAACTGTCTTAAGTCATATGTACTAAATACATATCAAACAAAATATGAGAAAAATTTAATTATGTTTTTAAAAATCCTGTGTCCTAGCCAGGATCTGCTGGCTCACACCTGTAAATCCTAGCTGCTCAGAAAGCTGAGACCTGAGAATAGTGATTTGAAGGCAACCATGGCAGAAAAGTTGGTCAGATTCTTATCTCCAATTAACCAGCAAGATGCCAGAAGTTGTGACATAAGAGTTAGAGTGCCAGCCTTGAATGAAAAGCTAAATGTGTTCAAGCCAGCATAAACAGAAGAGAATAAACTCATGGCTGGGTCAGAAATTCCATAGTCTATACCTTCTGTAAGCCTGGCTTTCCCTCCTGTAGGTTGGCACAGCACTGTGGAACAGCCTACACAAAGAACCACTGTCTGAGCATGGCTGAAAACCGTGGTAATCTTGTAGCAACCTTTAAAAAAAATAAATAAAGGTCACATTAAGTATGAAAATATAGCACCTGTTCAACATACTTCTAATATTACCTCAAAGTCTAGGGTATACTTTATCCTTAAATATTATCTCTTCTGCCAGGTACTTAGGTTTGAACTTAGGGCAGGTGCTCGATCACTTGAGGCACGTAGCCATCCCTCAGCTCTACTTTGACCAGTCACCTTTCAAGTACACAGTAGCCATATGGCTGGCAGCCACCATTCCGGGCAAACAGATTCAGACAGAAGAGCCAACAGACTTTTCACTGCATTATGAGAAAGAAGACTCATCTGAACAGTGTAAAGACTTAATCTGAAGGTCCATCTTCACTCCCCATCCCCAACAGGTTTCTACTCTGGTTTCATCATATTTATTATTCTGACATGGCTGCGATCTCACTCTGAGTCAACGGAGGCACCATATGAGTTTCAAAGTACACACCAAAACAGCAATAATAGCCAGTGTACACAGACGTTTCCCTAAGGAAAAAAAAAAATAAGGTTTTTTTTACCTGGACATTTTACATCCATAAAATAAGAATTTGGACTTTGAACTAGCCGTTTCTTTTTATGTTTTTTCTTCTCGTCTTCCAAGGACGGATGGAGTAAATCTCTAGCCAACTGGATTAAAACACAAAACAAAACACTGGAATTAAGCCTCAAAGCTCGCAGATTTAACCGTATGGAAAAACACAACACAACAAATCATAACAACAGTCCTACCCCGCGGAGGGAACACGTCAGCTATCGAAAGTTACTTTAAAAAAAAAAAAGCCTGATCACTGCCATCCACACTTTGGTGTCCCCCCCCCCCATGTCCCCTGCGCATTATGATGCCCGGGGACCGTTAATCCCGTTCTTCACTAAATTGAACAAAATCTCATCTCTGACGAGGAGAATGACTCCAGGGTCGCTGGGGAGGGGAGGGAGGGGTGGGGAGGAGCCAAGTACCCCGACGCCAGGGTACCCCCCCCCCGATTCCATCCGATCGGACCCGGGAGACTGAGCTCGGACGGCCCCCGAATGCCCAAAAGTCAGCCCCCAACCATCGCAGCCAAGCCAAGCCGGCTGAACCCCGGCAGGAATTCCCCGTCCCCGCCGACCAGGCGGGGTG